CCCCAAAACCCCAAAACCCCGCTAAGATTATGTTTAAGTTTGAAAGGATAATAAAATTGTTGAAATATTTTTCTTGTTACTCTCAGTTCTTGTTGCCCTATAGAATCATTAGACTTTAATTGAATACTTTTGAAGTGTTTATTGCAATATTTGAGTTCTTCTTCTCAATGTTTGGGGAGTGATTGTTAGACCTTAGAAGAGAAGCATTACTTCCTGCTTTCTGCATGCCTCTTCTCATTTTCTACATTAACTTTTCATCATGGCTCTACTTTATGCTTTCTTGCTCTTTTTAATCATATGATTTAACTATTTAGAAATTCACTTAATCCAAATCTTTTTCAATTTCAACTTCTATTGATTTAAACTTGTCCTTACACCTCTCGTTATTTGTCTATTAAAAGTTAATTTCTATCATTTACAAATTCTATGTCTTTGAAGTTATTTTCTATTCTGATTGGCGATAAATGGTTGATTGATATTTGACCTGAATTGGCATTCCTTGCCATTCTTGATTTCTTCAATATCTCACTATTCTTCAGCTAGTCAACGCTAGATATCTTTGGACCATCATAATCTTTTTTTAATACAAAGGTAGCTGCTTTCTATATCATTTAAAAGGAATGTTAGAACTTACATGATTTCTATTTCTGTAAAGTAAATCGAGTATTTCTCTCAGATTCTTATCTTCATATGGTTTCTTTGGTAAAACTCGAGCAATTTTTTTAGTTTCATCTAGCTTTTCAGAATAATGAGGCAGAACCTTGATCTTCTTCTTTTTGGCATCGTACCTTGGCGATGGCAATTCATCTGGATCGATTTCAGAAATAGGAGTTCCAGCTCTAACCAAAAACATTTTATCTTTTCTTTAATTCATAAACTCTTCATTATCACCTATCCTTCTTGCCAAAAATTGGAATTCTTATCTCGATATATCATTTAGCGATTATTCAAGGTTCTGCTATATTATGGTCCTTATTAACTCATCTTGTAAGTCTTTTATTTATTGATTCTCATGCTGCTTAATGTTGATTCTAATGAGGCCATTTTCAAGGTTGTAATTGTTATCCTTTTGCTCCTTCATTATCTCATCTAGTTGCTAGAACAGACTTTTAGAATCAGTAAGTGGTGCACTATTTGAGCCCTAACCCCAGAGACTTCTTTCTGCTTTTCTATTCTTTTATTAGGCTTCATAGATTTTCCTAAGTTTTGACTTTTTCCCCTCAAACTATCCCCTCATCATTCTCTCTTGATAGTATTTAGCTTTATCTAAATCACTTAAGTAAAAGTAATTTATAGCTATCTTATCATATGCGTTCATCTCTCCTTGATAATCGCCTTTACTCCATGATATTTCAAGCATCTTTTTAAAACATTTAATAGCATTTTCATACTCCTTCATAAATTAATAACAGCTGCCTAGCAGTTGGTAAGCATGTAATCTCACTTTATCTTATTCACATTCCTCTGCCATGTCTCTCAAAATTTTAAACTCAGATATTGCTCCTACAAAGTCTCTCTTATTAAGCTATAGTACTCCCATTAAATTATGAGTTTTCATAAGCAGATTGAAGTCATTGGCTAATTATGCCAGCTGAATTACTGCTTTGAGAAGGTCCTATGACTTTTTGTGCATTTTAATTGAAAAATAATTCAAACTTTTTTCCAGCAACGCGTGCACAACTTGGAGGTACATTATTTACGATTTCTCTAAAGCGCTTAATGTTTCTCTGTTAAGTTTTACAGCTACAGATTTCTGCACTCCTCCAAGTAGAGTTGAATTTTATTTTCTCACATTTTGCTATTGCTAGTTATTTGGATTCGATTTATCTTTGATTTGAGTAGAAAAATTGCTGAAATTGCTATTGACCTTTTGAAATTCGATTTAGCTTTTCTTCCCAAAATCTATTTTGTGATCCTACCTCAAATCTGCAGATTAATTTCAACTATTAAGACTATAATTTGATAATGACTTACTTATTTGAATTTTCTTCAATAGTCTATAGCCCTCTTTTACTGAGTAAATTCGTTAGAGTACCTCCGTTTGACACCGGAGACATCAACTGATTTTAGTTATGGGTTTGGTTTCTATATAGTAATTATTATGCATCATAAGTTTATGACTATTCTCCTCTTCAGCTTTATTGCTTTGAACCAATTGTCTTTGCTAACTAGGTCATTATTGCTGAATGAGGCTTTAATATTCCTTCCCCATTTGGATTCAAATAATCTGTTGTTTTTGATTTAACAATTTAATTCTAAGCCTTCTGAGATGTAACTTAAATTTAATGGCTCTGAAATCCAATTTAAGGTAACGAACCAGATGCTTTTAGACTAAATTCTTAGAGCTGTGATGGAGTTTGAAAAGACTTTCTATTTGCTTTTACTGATGAAAGGTTCTTAAGCCGAAGGTAATCTCCAAGTAAGGATTCCTTTTTATCTTTTGATAACTCTGAGGTAATTTTCTTAATATGTTCTTACATTTATCCTGCTATTATAATTATTTTGTATAAGTTAATAAATTAATAAGAGTCTTAATTTGATAATTTACTATTAAAAGAAGTTTAAATAAGTTTGAATCATAAACTATTCACAAATTTTTAGATTCCTTTGGTGTGGTTTCTTGACTAATGGCATCTATTTATTAACTTTACTTTGCTTGACTTTCTGAATCATGCTATCCTTGTTTATCCTCTTTCTTTGCGAATAAAGCATTATGCCAATTCTCTCTGATCCTCTCGCCTAGGTTTTTCCTAAGAACTACATCTTTCTCAGCTGGCTTTACGATCTATGATTCTGTCATTGCTTTCAACTGCTCAGGACTAGTAATCATTTAGTTTTAAGAGATAGCTCTCTTTTACTGCTTCTTTTTTTTCTTTTTTGGAAGTACCCCTGATAGGTCCTCAACTATAACTGCACAGGAGTCAATACCACAGACAACATTTTCTACATTGTGTTCTTTCTCAAATTTAACTTTAGGATATGGACTCTCCAAGAAACTCCTCTTTTTATTTCCGAGCTAGCCATTCTCGTTATCTCCCCAAATAAAGAAAGCTCCGTACTCGAAAGTAATAATAGTGTGCTTCTTGCCACATGTGATATTTGTAATTTTTAAAGGCTACTTAGTGTTTTGATCCACAAAGCCACTGACATCTTCAATAAGCATCATATCCTAGAGATGCGATACTCTATTTATTCCAAGTTAACCCCTCAGGTTATTTCCTGTCGCATAGACTTCCTCAACATTACCATTATTTGGATCCTTGCACATAATTATTGAAAATTCTTCCCCACCAGCTGCATCTACTACAATTTTACCCTCTAAATTCTTGTTAATTAAAACTGGGTTAAAAATAGCATGCCATGGATTTTCATCTTGAGAATATTCATCTCCGTGAGAAAGTTAAAGCTAATTGTTATATCCCCATCCATATAAATTGCCTCTTTCAGTAATAGCAAACGAATGTCTATACCCAGTAGAAACCTTGGCCACTCTTTCAGGTATTTTTACAAGAACAGGCTTTCCAAATCTCTTTTCAAAGAAAGGAGCTGTAGTTTATCTGCCATCCCCTCCTTGGCCACATTACCCGAATGTATCATCACCCATAGCGTAGACTAATCCTTCATTCGTTAAAGCCAAGAAATGATCTGTACCAGTTGCCATCATTTTGATATTTTTAAGATCTTTAATCATGATTGGAGTGTCTATTTTCAACACTCCTTCTATTTGAACTCTTTACTTGCTGAGATGATCAAGGGTCGAAATATCTGGGATCCTCTCTTCAATTTTAAATACATTTACTTCACCTGTCTCCATTAAAACAAACATTCTCTATCTGGTAAATTCTACTTGCTTTACTTTACCTGGTAAATTTACCATTATCATATCAGGTCTGTCTTTATCGTCGATTTCTTACACCTTAACACTAGTTTGCTTTGTTTTCTTGCAGACATATAACTTTCCTTTACTGTCAAGATAAGCCTCATGATACCATCCAAATGAAGCATCGATAATGTTAGGTTTATCCTTACCTCTAAATGGTTTCAAATTTTTAGGAGTAAAGTTTGAGTAATCTTGTTTAGTGTCAACTTGCTAACCCTCACCCCAAACATAGACATTTGTATTTATTGATTAGAGATACTTTCTTCGCTCATCACTTAACCAGCATTCCGCTGGCTATGCTTTGTTCATTAAAGTTATTTATCTTAGGAAAAGAGAAGATTTGATGCTATGAAGTATTTAGTGATCTTTATGAAAGAGGTATAAAGTGCCAAATACTGAAGCACAAAGCCACGAGCTTTTCAATAAAGATCCAGAATGTTTATAATATGCCATTGATATTATTAATAAATTTTATAATCTACCACAATTAATTTAAATGAAGAACATTATTAAAAACAAAACAAATTTATAATTTCTGAACACACCATTGGAGTCTCTTGAGAGGTCTTCAACTCCTTCCTTGGCGAAGAGAAACTAGGAAGTATTAAAACTTTACAGAGAAGTATTGAAAATGACTTAAAGATTTACTTGGGCTAATGAGGATGGCACTCAGTGGAAAATAATACTTTAAAAGACTGCAAGATAAGAATTCGAGTAGCTTAGGAACGAGACTGATTCTGTTAAAGTGGGTAAATTTATGATTACTTGGCGTGAAGCCAATATGAGAATACATGAGAAGATTAATGAGACATAGATGAAGATTGCAAAGCATGTAGATGACACCAGAACTGACAAGAGTTTAATCAATAAAAACAACTATCAAGATAAAGTCTGAAATTGAAAGAGCAAAAATAATTTAACTCACATTGATTTCATCACTTGTCAATCTAAATTTTATATCAAGGGGTTTTGGGGTTTTGGGGTTTTGGGGTTTTGGGG